TCTTTGAGGCTTCATGAGCAGCGCCCTGAACCCTAAACCCAGGCCCTCATGATGAACGCTAGCAAGCCCGGAAGAAAAAACTATGAAACCTGAAAGAACCCCATAAGACCCTTCTGACAAAAACACCCTAAACCCTAAACCCTAAACAGAAGCCCAACTTCAAGAGAAGCCTCCAACACCCCTAAACCCTAAACCGCATGGCAGGGCGGCCATGGCCTCGCCCTCAGCTGCAGAGCTGTTCGTGTGCCACGACTGTGGGTTTTTTTCTGCAAATTTGTGATTGCCAATACTGGTTTCGGAGTATAAGTAAAGTATAAAGTACCCCAAAACCCCAGTCTGATTGTTGGGGGCCTACAGTGTGTAGGGGTGCCGAGTTTTGGGTTTAAGGAGGTTTAGGGTTTGGTGCTGGAAATATCGGGTTCTGAATCAGTACTAAACGAGTAGTAAAGCTACCCCGTATTCCCGTCCCCTGTAGTCCCGGCATCATGTGTACATGTTGGATGACGGGGTCATTCGGCTCCCTAGCCCAAACCCTAAACCCTAAGCCCTAAACCCTAAACCCCGGCCCAAAGCGCACAGCTCACGCACTGAGTTGCAAGACATGGAAGCGATCTTCACGAAGGGCACTGGTCTCAGCAACGCCATGCAGAACACGCGCCTTCGGCAGCGAAGAGGGCCCACTTGTTGATTCACGTCGGTGTTGTGCTCCTCTCTTTCTTCCTGATGTGAATATGTATGTATATACATATATACGTATATATATACACACACTTGTTTACATACACACACATTGTATAATTATATGCTTATACATATATATATATATATACATATATATATATATATAGTTATTTATTTGTTTATAGACATATATACTTGCATACATGTGGTGGGGATGGGCCAGAAGGAGTAGTGTGTTGTCCTCATGCCAGCAGTGAGCTTCGCCTGGTAAGGTTTTGTATCGGTTTGCCGAACATCGTCATCGCCCCAATGGGTGCTGGCACCGGCTACTTGGCAGACAGCGCTGGATGCAGCCGGCCTTGAGATAGTGATATTGTTGCTGTAAGTTTTCTCGACATTCTGCGCGCTTGAAGTGCCTGAGCAGCCAAGAAATCAAAGCGGGCGAAGCCTGCAAATCGATCATCTCCGTTTGGTGGGCCAAGCTGATGATGAAGAGGGCACATGGCTGAGCTGTGTGACGCTGATCTCATAGGGACCTTTGAGGGGGCGAAAGGTCGAGGGGGGGTAGGGGACTGTCGGACTATACTTCAGGTCCTTATCAGGGGTATTAAGGCTGCCTACCCCCTCTCCCCCCAACCCCTCTAGGGGTCCTTATGATGATCGTACATTCGTTGTTCACACAGTCTATGTGTGTGATTTTCGTTTCTCTGCGACCTGTGTCTTGACTGCCACTGCCTGTCAGAACTATGCCTACTTCACCTGGAAGCACGGCATCATGCTGCCGGTAGCTCTGGCAAAGTTACCTGGCGCTTGGCCCGCCCTAGCACAGTCGACAGTAGTGCCTGCATCCATAGCATGGAGTCCCAAGTGGGAGTTTCCAAAATCTAGGGTACCCTATTTTAAAGTCCTTATAATAAGGATCCTACTATTTAGGGTACTATATTAGGGTCCCCTATTTTCTGAAATCCCCAAATATAATGAGGGTGTGGAGGGCAAACCATTCACGACCAACCCAGGTCGTCGAAGAGTCTGGTGATTAGGGCTTAGGGTTTAGGGTGGTGATTAGGGTTTATGGTTTAGGATGGGAGTGGATGAATGAAGTGGAACACCACAGGGCACACGAAAAGCAAAAAGAATACTGCAGCCAGCCCAGCTCATGGGTCTAATTCTCACGCTTGCTTGGCCTGTGGTGGGTGACCTTGGTGTGACGAGATAACATTCGACTAAGAAGAATTGATTAGGGGGTACCAGCTGTTGTTTCAAGCTTTCTGGTTTTATTTATGGTTGTGAAGTGTTCTGGTTTTGGTTGGGTTTTATGGACGAAGGAGAGAAAGGCACGTCAGAAGGAAAGAATGGACGTACCGCAGAAAAAAAGAAGGAAAGGCAGGAAGGAAGGAAGGAAGGAAGGAAGGAAGGAAGGGAGGGAAGGAAGGAAGCAAGGAGGGTAGGAGGGAACGAAGGAAGGAAGGAAGGAAGGAAGGAAGGAAGGAAGACAGAAAGGAAGAACGAAAGAAAGAGACAGGCAGAAAGAAAGAAAGATTCACAGGACGAGCGAACGCAAGAAACAAAGAAAGAAGGAAAAGAAGGAAGGAAGGAAGGATGGAAGGAAGGCGAGAGTCAGAAAGAAAGGCAAAATCACAGATATACAGGAAGAACAGAACGAAGGAAAGAAAGAATCAGAGCGGGACATACAGAACGAGGAAAGAAAGAACAGAAAGACCCATAACCCGTATCCAAGGTTTCAAGTTTCCAAAATCCATGATAGAGGCATTCTGTTTGAACCTGGGGGCCCCCTCCCCCGGCCTTTTTGAGTCGCCCAAGCTCGCTTCAAACATCATCCTGACGGCAGAAACAGAGCCCATATGGACGCTTTCAGAACCCGTGATACAGACATACGTTGAGCCCTTGAGCAACTGCAATTGCCTATGTGTTTCTTCGGAATTATTTCTTATGTTTATATTTATTGTAAATAAAGAACCTAAGGGTTAATTTAAGTATCATGTTTATGGTTAGAAGGGATTTATAGTTATGAGGACGTTTATGTGCTCGTAACCGTGCTTGCAGAGTCCCTTCTCCCTTAACGCTAAACCCCTAAACCCTGAACCCTAGGCTTTACCATAGGCCCCATAGTAGTTCCTTTTTATTTTTGGGAATACCTTATAGGATTCTAAATATGAACCGCAAAAAGGCACTACTATGGGGCCTATGACCCTAAACCCTAAACCCTAAACCCTGAACCCTAAACCCTAAACCCTATACCCTAAACCCTCAACCCTATACCCTAAACCCTCAACCCTAAACCCTAAACCCTGCTCCTTGGAGGAGGAAGCGTCTGGAGCCCTGTGCACCTTGCAACTCTGCCGAAGCTCCGGGGCCCGAGACCTTCAAATGAACACCAGAGCCTAAACCCTAAAGGTTTAGGGTTTAGGGTTTAGGGTTTAGGGTTTGGGGTTGAGGGTTTAGGGTTTAGGGTTTGGGGTATTTAGGGTTTAGGGTTGAGGGTTTAGGGTTTAGGGTTTGGGGTATTTAGGGTTTAGGGTTTAGGGTCTAGGGTTGTATTCAAAGCCCATGAACCTTCAAAACAAACGCCAGGAGAAGAGACGAGATTGCAAACCCTACCGGGCCACCTTCGCACGCATGTTCTGTACCTCGGTCCGGTGTTGTCTCTGGGGGGGGGTTGGAGATAGGTTTACTATAGGACTATACGTTAAGAACCCAAAACCTACTTTTTTGTAGGGTCCCTATAAATCCCATGTTAGGGTTTATAATAAGAACCTACAAAAAATCCGGTTTTGGGTTCTTAAGGTAGGGGCCTTAACAACGAAATAGGACCGAATCGGGTTTGAGTTGTACAACCCTGTACTAGATTGAATCTCCACCAAGCTAAAGAGTTCTGGCCTTTATGTTGCTTGAAGGATCACGGGATTTAGTATCAGGTTCTGCGAAGTACCGTGACACCGAATTGCTTGACGCCTCAGCCTGGAACTGGTTGACTTTTTGAACCCCTACTTGGAGGTTCACCCGTAGTTATAAGTAGAATTATAAGTCCCCTAGTATGGGCATTAATTATGGTAAATAATTATAGTTTCCCTATACTTATAACCCCAGAATACCCCACTTATCACTACGCATTAACCTCCAAGTAGACCGAAAACCCCTAAACCTCTAAACCCCTAATGTGACTTACCCATGATCCTTCACGTGGAGGCGACCTGCACTGCGTACGGGATGCTGTCATTCGAGGCGTGTGCACGCAGGGATTGCTCTGACGTTCGCCCGCTTGGAGGTTCGTGGGTAGTTATAAGTAGAGCTATAAGTCCCCTATTATAGGTTATCAATAGGTCTACTTATTTTGTCCCCAATTATAACTTATAGCTACCCATGAACCTCCAAGAGGATCCGTATTAGATCAAGCTCTGACCACTTTAGGGCTTAGGGTTTGTTAGGGTTCAGGGCTTGGGGTTTAGGGTTTACTCGGGTTTTGTGGTTAGAGTAAAGAGTGGAGGCTGACCACACTCAGAGAGCTCTTTTGTTGAAGAGACCGACGTATCGACACAAACGAGGAGCCTCGTGCTGCAGAATCGTTCTTGCCGCGGTAAACGAAGCACGGAAACAGTCTCCTGTTCTGGTAGTGTATAGGGTTAGCCTACAAACTTGAGCAGAGATGAGGATCAAGAAGAGCTGTAAGACCTTAGGACAGCTACAATGGTGTTGCTTGCGGCAGGGTGGCGGGGGGCTGGGGAGGGTCGGCTGCGCGTTGTAGGTAAGGTTTCGGGGATACGAGCCGAAGGAAGTGCTTTAGCAGACAAACAACAGATAAGCCGAGTCATTAGGAGACTTCAAGAGGGTGCGGGCAGTTGAGCACCTCAAGTTATGCATGCCGGATAGAAGGGGAGGGGGGCATTTGCGTGACCTTGGGCAGGGTTTCAGCCGTAGTGTCAGGGTACCCCAAGTCAGTGGCTTCAAGCTATAGTCACCTTCGTCTAGCTACCTCGGATCCGGAAGCTGATCGAACGCATTTACCAAGCCTCGCTTGCCACATGAGCCGATTAGCCACTGCAACCTCCTGAAAGCTCACACCGACTAGCTTTTAGACCGTAAATCCTAGAAGCCGCAAAACGCAAACATCGACACTCCTATCTAGCACATTTTCAGGTGGGTAGTTACAGTTATAGGAGCCTTATAGAAGGTCCATATACCTTATGGAAGCCTTATAGAAGCCCTATATACCCTAAACTCCCCACCTGTAGTTTCCCTTAATCCTAAGCCCTATCCCTGAACCTCAGTGAGCCGACGCTGTATCTTGCTTTGCTCGCCAGGCGACCGAACGATCCTCCGAAACTTGCAGAAAGCCACGGCCGCCCAGCTCCCATGAGGTGTCGTGTAGGGGTTGCATCAATTTTTGTACGAAGATCACCGCAAACATTCCTTCAAGGATTCCTTTGAAGGCTCCCCTAAGGGATCTATGATTTTAGGATTTCAGGGTCGCGATCATGGAGTTAAGGTACGTTGCGGCGCAAAGGTTCCAGAGGGCTACTGGTAAGACACCGATTGTATGTATTTGACGGGTTGACGTCACCGAAGTCTCAGCCACAAAGACGATCAATCGCCCTAAACCCTAAACCCTAAACCCTAAACCGTAAGGACGTCACAAATGGCAACACCGAGAAGCTCGCGGCAGCTCGGCCATCCTTCGGCAAGACCCAGAGTCTGCAGTCGCTGCTGCACTTCCCGTAAGATTTCTGTTTTTCGCTAATCCATCACTTTGAGTTTGGCCGACTGCCAGCTAGTTTCCGTGGAACGAACGTAGAATCGCGCAGTAGGTGCATACTACCCCTTTTGTTTTAAGTAACCTCGTAGTAGCTCTTACAGTACCACCTGAAGGCCGAACTGCACGTCTCAGGGGTGGATTGTCAAGACGGCGCAGCTGGATGCTGGTTGGCTGGGAGAGAAGATTGACCACCAGTCCTTGGTGCAGGGCATCGAGCCTTGGAATGGGTAGGGTTTAGCTTGGAGGATTTAGGGGGTTTGGGGTTTGGGGTTTAGGGTTTCATCGTCTGGCAATGTAGACCCTGATGATACAGCCTCCTCCCTCCAGACGGAGCATAGCCCGTGAAGGATCCCATTCTGTTTGCCCCATCAGGGTTTCAGATTAGATGAGCTAAACCCTAAACCCTAAACCCTAAACCCTAAACCCAAACCCCTAAACCCTAAACCCTAAACCGTGGGGGATTCTTCAACTTGCACCATCTTCCGCAAAAGAGCCTCTTCCAGGGTTCGCCTGAACCCTGGGGATTCAGGGCTTCAGCTTTAGGGCCGGGTTACGATAGGGGCCTTAATAATAACCGATATTTGTTGGGGGGGGGGGTCCTTATTATAGCTTATAGTATAATGGGCCCCAAAACCCTATACGCATTGTTACGGCCCCTACATTTAAGGGTTCTTCCTTCCGTCTGGCCCTGAGGAGAATAAGAAGGAGTTCACGGCGATCAGGGAGATGATCGAAGGCGCGGCCCTAAGCCTTAAACCCTAAATCCTAAACCCTAAACCCTAAACCCTAAACCTAAACCCTAAACCCTAAACCCTAAACCCTAAACCCTAAACCCTAAAACCCTAAACCGTGACATGGCATGGCCTCACCCGGCCGCCAAACCATCGCACGTGTTCACTCTTGGGCTTCATGTAACGTAGGGGCCTTAATGATTAGATCAGGGTTTTGGAGGGTTCCTGAATATAACTATAGTATATTAACCCCCAAGCCCTATTCTAAGTATTAAGGCCCCTATATTAGTACCGGGGGGCCAAATGATTACCAATACTGTTTGGGGCTTCCCCATGAAAAGCTCTACTAAAATCCCCAAAACCCTATTCCCATGATTCAGGCCCCCATGTTTTGCCTGAGGATCCCCGAAGCTGGTGCTGGTCTAAATTCTGGAATCTTCCAAGTATGATCCCCTAAACCCTAAAACCTAAAGCCCCAGAAAAGGTCAGTGCACTGTGAAAAAAAACCCTAAACCCTAAATCCCCCAAAGACCTGAGCCCTCAACCCAGACCCTAGAACTCTGGAGCCTACACCGAACCCCAAACCCCAAACCCTAAACACCTAACACTAGGGTTTAGGGTTTAGGGTTTAGGACCTCAAGTGCCAAAAACCTGAGCCCTACACCGCAAAACCCTAAACCCTCCAGTCTCTGTTGCAGCCGGAGCTCGGGACGTCTCTTGAAGAAGCCTCAGCTTTTCCTTGGCACAGCGAGGCGGCAACAAGAAGGAGCTGTTCTTGGCCATCAACCAGCGCACGAAGCAACTTCAATCCGAGATCCTCGTCTGAAGCCAGCGAGAAATGGAGGATTTTATACCTCAAGCTCTGATGTACAGTCCTCGATCCGCGTTTTAAGCTGTAGTTCCGGATTGTACACGTTTCGTATCGTCCGCCTCGGCCCAGCGTCGAGTTAGGCACGGCCGCAGAGGCGCACAACAGGACGAACAATGCAGAAGTTGGGGACTGGGGGGACGGGGGGCTTTGGGCCGGTCAAAGAGTCCAAAAGGCAGGAGGGAAAGGGGAGGAGGGGATGAGAGGAACCTGGGATTGGTCGTCCTGTTGTAGACTAGGTTGTCTTGTGTTTTTTTCTCGGTGTGTTTGTGTTACATATACTGATAACAATGGTGGGGGGGTGATAAAAAGCATGCGCACACCTCTGGACGACATGACATGTCCTGATGTGAGTTTTCTTTGTATCAGTCGACTTGCCTCGAAACGTTTCTCGCAATTTCCGGCAGAACCTAGCGATCTGTGACTATGCCTGCACACACAACATGCTCATGAGGACATTGATATCGCGCGCACTGGCGTTCACCACGAACACTTCCAATATGTTCATGTACATGCGCATGGCTAAGCAATGGTGGAGTCTCGTGAAGAAACCTATTTTTTCGGGATCGAGAACCAGGGCCGTTACTCAAATGGTCTACGGGATAAGTATACTGAACCATATCCATATTATTAGATTATATGACTCTTTTGAAGTATGTACGAATGCCATGTGTTTATGTTAGCCAGATTTGCCCACAGCTCAGGCTCGCAGGGTACGCTGAAGGGGCAGCTGGGCCTTTCTGGACACATGTTTGTTGGGTTGAAAATAGGGAGTTTCCGAAAATTAGGGTACCCTATTTGGGGGCCCTTATAATAGGGATCCTATTATTTAGGGTACTATATTAGGGTCCCCTTATTGTCGCAAACCCCCAATACGAGAGCTTTCACATTCCGACACCGCGCAGGGATGGCTCCTAGACTTGAGGGTGTAACAATGGACTTAGTTAGCCAATAGGAGAACTTTAAGCTTTTTGGCCTTATATATTGGGTCTATCCTAAAAAGTTTGAACTTTTTTGGGCCTGGTAGTTGAAGAAGAGAATGGAAGCTAACTCTGATTGTTCAAGTGCCGAGGCCTCGTTCACTGAAGCTGCTACCCTGGCAGCAAACGATGCGCTGGAAAAGTTTACGGCGGATAGTCCCCAGGCATTGCATGTCGTAGGAGGCTTTAGCGGATTTGTAATCTTTTATAGGGTTGCAGGATTGTAAGAGTGTTACACTGATTCAAGTCAGATAAAGGGTTTAGGAGTTTGATGGGCGAAGTGGCATTTATCTTACGGGTTTTGAGTGAGTGTATATAGGCGTCGGAATATTGGTGAGTGTGTACTTGGGGTCTATTTTGGTGATATTTGCAATAAAAGCACCCCTCCAAGTGGCAATCCGGATAACTTTCGTCAGAAGTTTTTGTCAATACCCTGTTGCCTTGCTGCATCAACTTGAACACGGCTACTTACAGCTTTTCTGCATTGGTCAGCCGGACGGGGTTGTAGCACCACAGGCAAAGCGGTCGGTCCCTGCCAGCGGAGATTTTCGCGTTATGTCAAATGCACCCCACTCTGGCGAGAAGACTCTTGAAAAGGAACCACTAAAGGGATGTAATGAATAGAGTGAATAAGTGAATAAGTTCATAAATAAAGTAACTATTAAAGGAATCCTGTAGAGTAACCCCGATACCAAACACTTGTAGTAGCCGAACCATTAGAGTGACCCTCGTTCGGAAGCCCTTGAAGGAACCCTCGTAGCAATCGGAGCGTAAGCCTTAAAGGAACCCTCCGAGCGAACCCTAAACCCTAAACCCTACCCCACTCGAAATCCTCATCGAACCAGATTCGGAACCCAACTCAGCAACTCCTCACTGGCCCCTAGACCTGTCTTGGAGCCCGTCTACAGCAGGGTTTAGGGTTTAGGGATCTTCCATGCAAGATAGGTAGCCCTTAGAGGAACCCTTCGAGCCTTCGTTGGAGCTCCTTCAAGATCCCTAAAGCCGAAACCTCAACCCTAGAGTGACCCTTGTAGGAGCCCCTTTCTGGAGCCTTTTTCGGGTTTAGGGTTTAGGGTTTTTGGAGCTCTTCCAGAAGGTAACGTAGGGGCCTTTATAATGAGAATGGGGTCTTGGGCTTCTTAAAAGGGTCCCTTTAAGGCAAGTCGTCGATTCGAGATGGCAACAGCACGGAGCACGCCGTCGCGGCCTTCAACAGCCTGGTCACGCTGAGGTCCAAGCTCAGGCCGGGTTTAGGGTCTCGGGTCTCTATAAGAGATATTGAAAAGGTGACTGTAAGGGTCACTATAACTATAAGGTGACTATAAGAGATGCAGAAAAGGTGAGTGTAAGTGGCACTATAACTATAGGGTGACTGTAAGAGTTAGACGACTTACTAGAAGGCTGCTCTAAAGGTTACTCTACGGTTGCTAGAGGGTTATTACAACGGTTACACTCGTGATCGGTTCGATGCAGCTGCAACAGTCTTGAGACAGATGCTGGTCGATGTACCTAAACCCTAAACCCTAAACCGTTTTGGCTATGTTGGCTCGGCCTGGTAAGGACTTCTAGCTGTTCTGCGGTTGGAAAAGGGCCCGTAAAAAACAAAAAACAAACGTTTTGGCTTCAGACAAGGCTACGATGTGAAGTCGTGAGGCGGTGGTTTTTCGAAGTTAAGATATGGCCTGAAAGCGCCATTGTCAACAGCTAGCCGAGGCAGAACTTGTACACATATTCCAAACATGGCAGGCTGTGAGCAGATTTTTTGAGCTCGGTGAAAACATAGAAGCAGGGGTTTCCGAAAATAGGGGACCTTAATATAGTACCCTACATGGTAGGATCCTTATCATAAGGACGCCAAAATAGTACCCTACATGGTAGGATCCTTATTATAAGGACGCCAAAATAGTACCCTACATGGTAGGATCCTTATTATAAGGACGCCAAAATAAGGTACTCCGTATTTTCGGTAACCCCCAAGTGTCCTAAACCCTAAACCCTAAACCCTAAACCCTATTTTCGGTAACCCCCAAGTGTCCGAGTGAGACCTGCCATGGTTGCTTGAGCTGCCGTAGTGTGGCGAAGCATCTGGAAGCCTTGAGGCGTTTTGACTAAGGGCCTAGGGTTTAGGGTGACTAAGGGTCACACTCAGGGCTACAAGAAATACTATAGGGGTTACTAGAAGGTTGCTATAAGGGTAGTATGTCTATGATGACACAGGGAGCTTCATACTGTTGGCTTCCTCTCCGAACAGCGGCCCCTCCTTTCGAGAGCCGAGCTCCACAGCAGCCGGACGTACCCACGGCTCTGCGGAAATGGCCGAGTAGACTCTACAGGGGAGTTTCCGAAAATTGGGGGTACCTTATTTTGGGGTCCTTATAATAAGGATAATACTATTTAGGGTACTATATTAGGGTTCCCTATTTTCGGAAACCCCTATATAACCTCCTTTCAGCTTCACAAGAAAGTTCCGGCGCCGTTTGAAGCCTCTTCAAAAACACACTCTGTCTCTCTGACTCGCGAGCCTCTGCCAGTGCTGTTGGCAGTGCACTCAGTGCAGGTCTGTGGCAGATAAGCGCAGCAAGGCCGACACGGTTGCAATGCCTCTTGTCAGTTTTGTCAGTTTTTGCAAGTGCGCGATTTGTCACCCACAAGCCACAATGTTCTGTGAAGCTGCGTCTTTGCTCGCATGTGTGGCGTCAGCTACAGTACCTTCTGCTCGTCGGGTATTGTCAAGAGAACCCTTCCATCACTGTGGGTCGGCACGCTTCTCTCGCAATCCCTGCCTCGCACCTGTCGGATTCCGTCGGGACGTACTGTAATGCCGGGTAGAGTACCTAGGCCTCAAGCACCAAGCGACTCTCCACAACATGAGGTCAGTTGTGCAGGGGGCTCGCCAGATGCAGCTCACTGCAATGATGTCGCTGCTCGTGACTGTAGGGCATAGGACCAGGATAGCATCTTGCAAGACAAGAGGCTTCACTGCAAATGCAAACTGACTTGGCAGTCGCCAGATTCACCATGCTCCTCAACAGCATGTATCTAATATTGCACAGACAATAGAACATAATATTGGGCAAAATGACGCAGAACATAGCTACAATGGTATGACCACCTTAGTAATATGTCGTATCCCAAGGCAAGAGAGCCTCAAGTTGCAGCGAGAGACCCTGGGCATCTACCGCAAGCAGCTTGGACTCCGACCGATGGGGCGAGCGAGAGCAAGGGACGTTTAGAGCCTAGGATCTAGGGCCGCAAGAGGGACGTTACATCGCAGGGTCCTGTGAATCTGGACACCTCTAAACGGATTCCCAGGTTCCAGCGACTGTCCATGTGCGAATTCGGATGTCTAGAAGCGTCTGCTGTGAGGCGCTCCAGGTTCCGGGTTTCTTGAGACAAATGTAGAATTGCATGTGTCGCGACGGTGATCTGGCACAACAGAAATCAACTTGGGAGTTGGGTGCATTGTCTTAGGAGCCTGTGCTGGACCAAGGAGGAGCAACGCCACGCGGCAAATGTTCCGCTCGAGGCGGTTGGGACTGCGAAGCCCTTTGTATCCTGACAGGGTCGGGGCTTGCTGATTAGCCGGAACGCTTCGATTTCTTCCCTATACAGCATTCCAGCACAGGTCAGACAGAGCTACGTGTCGCTGTTTGCAGGCATATGCCCGAATCTGGACAGACAAAGGCAAGGCATCCCAGAAAATGTGCACGCCGAAAGACCGTGCAACTCCGCCAATTCACTTGTGGATAGGTAATGTTTGGTGTATTCTGATGGGCCACCTTTTGAAGAATGAACATAGTGTTCTACATACAGATCATATTCCGGTCCTCACGAGGATCTTTATTCAGCAACCCAGCAGCCCTGTCCCTTCGATGTGTTACATTGGCAGTAGCCTTTAGGCAGTTGACAGAAATCCTTTACTTCGACTTCCTGAACGTCTTTGTGGATCGTCTTGAACAGGTCCGGTGCCGAGCAGCGCGAGCGACATGCGATGCTGCTGGACCTGGACCGCAGCTAAGCTGGAGCTATGCTCATACTTGCTTATGCTGGGAGCAAAACCTGATCCCCTTTCCGTCGTCCATCAGCCCCCTCTCGTCACAGAACTGCACACATCTGCGAGAGAGGGAGAGCAACCATCATAGGATGGCTCTCGAGCTTGTCATGCTGGTGTATCGGGCATAACTTAAGTGAGTCGATATGCGTAGAGCTCTCGTTGGGGAGATGTTGAAACTGTAGACCTGGCTGCTAACCTTTGCAAACGTTCTTCGAAGGTGTTTGGTGGAAGATTCGCGGAGCGCTTGATGACTACATCGACGAAGCTGAAGACGAGATCAGGGGTGCATTCACTCAGCGTTTTCCTTTCGATCGCTGCATCAGTTGCGATGATGTTGAAGTCATGACGGACGGTGGGAGCAGCCATCAACATAGCGACTGCCCGATAGTCGCGTGATAGGTGCACATTATATACATATGTGTGTGTGTGTGCAGTACATGCATGCAGACACACACTCAAGTGCACTGCACGTATGTTGTAGAACCTGTGTATGTATATTACCGAAGTCATATCAACTTGGGATATTTGTCACTAGCGTTCACCTTGCATGAGTGCTACACTTCAATCCCAAGCTCTAAGCTTTAGTATCGGCCCAGTCTCGGCATTCAACGGTGATCAGCCTTTGCGAAGTCAGGCTACGATTCCGGCGTCCATGCCTTGACGCAGTATGAGAAATGCTGCTTGGCAGAGGTATGTCCGCATGTAAAAATCAGGTGATGTTTCCCCAGAACGTCCACTTGGCTAGGCTTCGTGGGGATGGATGGCATTTTACAGGGGAAATGGGAACCTCTGGCTTCTTCTACCAGGGGTGAGGAAGAGAGGGTGTAAGGAACAGTAATATGGGGGGCCTAAGTAATTACCAATACTATTCTGGGGGTTCCTGATTATACTTAGTACGGCATATCCCAAAACCCTGTTTAAATTATTAAGGCCCCTGCATTAGCCAAAGGCAGCGTCGACTTCCAGAGCTTGCTAGCGGTGTACAAGCAGACCATGGCAGCAAGCGATCGCTCTCACAGGCTCTGGGGTTGAGGGCCCCCTAAACGCTAAACCCCAAGCTCCCTAAGCCCTAAGCTGCAGGGTGTTGGGTTCAGGGCTTTGGGCGTTTTGAAGGTTTTGGGCTTGGGGTTTGGGGTTGAGGAAATGTCGAGCTTCAAAGCCAGCCTTTCAGCTAAACCAGCGCTTTCCATATTAACTGTGTATTATTAACTGTCATGATTATTACTATATGTTATTATTATTATTATCATTATTATTATTATTCTTTTTATTATTATTATTATATGGACTACGGAGGTATACTATGCCATGAGCTGTCTTCCACGGTAGCGCAAGAGACTCGCGGAGCTCGGCTCTGGCCAGGGCGCTGAAAACGACCTGGCGCCACGTCTCGAACTTGCTGGGCCGCTTCTTCGCAGAGACCGTATGGGAGTTTCCGAAGATAGGGGACCCTAATATAGCACCCTAAATAGTAGGACCCTTATTATAAGGACCCCCAACATAAGGTAACCCTATTTTCGGAAACTCCCCTATACGGCCTTGAAGCTCTTGAACGGGGGTCTCCTGGTGTGGGGTTTAGGGCTTAGGGCCATCAAAATCTCCCGGTTCGCAGCCTCTAGGGACTTTAGCGTCTTGCCATCATCCGCACACGTCTCCCGTCAGAAGGCGAGCGGGACTTCTCCGAAAGCTGCTAGCATGCTTGAAAAGGCCCAGGCTATCTCCAGAAAGAGTCAGAGCGTATGTTTCAAAGAGTACTGCGAAGTCCCGAGAACGAGTGCAGTCAGTAGTCGTTTCGGCCTTTGTTCGGCGACACCCTTATATAGAGGCCTGAATAATTACCTATACTACTTTGGGGGTTCCTTATTATGGTTACAGTATAATGTACCCCAAAACCCTATTCCAATTATCAAGAAGGCCCCTATTTTGCCTGATACGGACCCTGCACTTAGGGGAGCTGGCCTCTCACATTGTCGACGGCGAGGCTTTCGATACCTTCTTGCAACAAGAAGGCAGGGAAGGTAGCTTACAGCAGTCAGCAGTCTACATCCGGCAAGTGGTGGTGGTGGTGGCTGCGGAAGTAGAAGTCGACCTAGATTTTTAAAGTCGAAGAAGTAGCAGGGCCAGGAGCAGTATGCAGTAGTCAGGAGCAGTGGCAGCAGCAGCAGCA